TGTTCACAAGTTTGAGTTGCCCTATGTCTTCAGGAGATTGGAGATGCTCCATGAATGGTAAGTGGTGTTATAGCCGATGGCTGGCTTGAGGACTGAGAAGGAAGCAGTTAAGGAGGTAAGAGGAAGGGGAGGAGGAGTTGGTCAGGTTGTGGGGTAAAGGGGAGGTGCTGCAGGATAGAAAGGGTTAAGTACAGACATTTGCCTGTGGAGGAGACTAGCAAGAAGTATTCATTAAAGTCTGGTCACTACTGAGCAAGACCCCAGCTGAAAGAATAAGCATGTCTACAGAAACATCTTTTGTATTTATGACATTTTCCTACCAAGAGGAACTAAATTTATTTGTTCTGTAAGATTGCTGGTTTATTCAGAAAAGGGAAGGCAGTGACAATATGAGATCCCTTAAAAGTGAAAGAACGCACCATTCCAAATCTTCAGCCTACAAAGCAGGTCTTCCAGTACGGCTTGGTAGGCACTGAAAATCCTTTGACTAGAGACAAACTTCTAGATTTTTTTTCCTTCTATGGAGTAGAGGTAAATACAGTTTCCACACAGCAGAGGATGGCTGGTGATACATCTCAGTCGCCAGAGTTAAGTGAGAGCTTTAAACAAAAATATGGTTTGCAAGAAAAGTGGAAATTTCATGCCAATGACATGAAATACAGCCTGATCCCTTTTGCAGCCTCCATGAGCAGGCCATCTTTCATTCTTTGTTCATGCAGTTGTTACCACTACTAAGATAACAGAATGTGCAGAAGTCAGTTTCTGGATGAAAAGCAGCTGCCTCAAGCTCCACATAGGGACACTTCGGCATTTCTTTAATAATAATGTTATGTTCTTCAGGAAAACCTTAGAGATCACTTTCTTAAACCCTGCCTTTCTAAGGAGGGAAGGCATGCAGCTCCAATCATTAGAAGGATTAAAAACCACATACAGTGTATAATAATCATCAAAGCTGAACAAGTTGTTACGTGCAGCAAGTAAAATACCTTCTTTTGCATTCCACCTAAAAGTAAACTGTAGAACATGTAGTTGTACCTAGTTCTCTCCATGTCATGTGTGTCTTGTTCCAAATACTGGGAGCTGATACATTTCAAGGTGAGCATCTACATGTAAGGATTTCAACTGGTGTAAAATATGGCTGGATGTCTTCAGGTTTTTTTATTTTTTTAATTTTGAAGCATAATTCCAATCCTTAGATTTCTAATAAAAACGATGAAGGGCATTTCTGATACTCTTTAATGCCATGTGCCTCCTAAGAACTGCAGGTTCAAAGGGCTTATATAATTTATTTGCATAAAGAGAGTGTTGGAAGAACAAGCTAACCCTCAGAAACCTGCAGTTACCTGGTAGATTCCATGTTCTCTGTGTTGGGTCAAATGATTTTGTATTTCGCCTAAAGGTTAGAGCATACTACATATCCATGTTCTTGTATTTTAGCAGAAAACTTTAAATGGTATGCTTTGAGGGGGCAGTTTATAGTGAAGCCTGCCATTTTATAAAATACTTCATCTTGGAGGAGGAGAGAAAATAAATATTCTGAACCTGCCAATGTAGTTTAAAAAAACCCAAAACAAAACAGCTTTTAGCTCCCCATCACTGTTTACAGTATATTGAGCAGTAAAGGACTGGGTAGCAACGGAGCCTCAAAGTGAAAATTTGGCTGTTTGCAGGTAAGTTGGAAGAGCCTGTGGTGCCATGCAGATTTACAGACTACTTGTCATGGGTAGAAGAGCCCAGCAGATGTCAGCTTCTCTACCACTGTTCAGCGGGTGATAGGATATGTACTGTAGAACCAGGAGGGTGTTTTGGACGGGGGGGACCTTTCTAATACTCACTGTATTTAATTGCAGTGAGACAGGCAGATAAACTTAAGCCAAATTTGGAACTCTAGTTATGAAGATTCTGCACATTCCTAGTGTGTTTTAAGGATACTTCCTGCTATAAATATGCATGAAATTGTTTCATTAAAATTTGCATTTTGAACTAAGTTGATTATCCCATTCAAACTTGGAACTACTTGGATCTTTTATTCTACTACCTATAATGTCAGGTAAACTTCAGTCTCATAACTGCCTCAAACTGCAGTGGTTATGGCAATTTAACCAACTGTACTTAGAAATACAATCACAATGTTTAATAAAACAAAACAAAACAAACATGTATGTTCTAGTGAGAATTGAGAATGAAGTATTTGCTGGTGATAATATTAGAAGCAAGAAGGACTCTGCCTGTGAGAAAATTCCACAGAACAAACTTGCCAGTGTCAAAGGAGATGCTTATGCTAAGAAAAATCATCTATTTGACCCAATTTTTCAAGTGTGCCAATTGACATAAGATTCCTGATTCACATTTTATTTTTTTTTAGTTTGCTCACAGGAACTCTGATTTCAGTGTACATGTTAGTGGCATAAATTTAATGCATAAAATGGATGCATGCAGTTGTACTTTGAACTTGAAAAATTTTTGTTCTGGTGTGTATTGTATAGAAGATTCTGAACAAGTCACTTCTGTATTTGCTAATGTATGCGGTATTTTTTTTCTGTGTTTGCTAATGAGGATCTTTCCTCATGCTTTTTTCACAATCAACATGGTTATTTTACTAGATCACAACTGTACTTTGTCCAGGGAAAGCTGATTTTAAGAGCCTCACTTTAGTCTGAAAACCAGATGACAGTTACGCATCAGCATTTAAAATGGAGTTGGAGCATTTGGAATTTAGTTGCAGCTGCTGTTACCTGACTAAGATAACTTTGTTAAAGTAATCACTGGATAATATTTGAAGTTAGTAAGTAGCTGTTCACAGTAAGTGAATTACATTCATATTTTAATAAACCATTTTATGCTGTTTTAGCAGAGACTGTGAAGCAGTCTTCAGATATCACAAAGGTTTATGACCTTGCCTGTTAGTAGTGAGGTAATACAAGCACCATAGGAGTAATCCCCTTGAAATCACTAAGGTCATGGTAGATTTATACAGGCATGTGGTAAACAAGGACAGAATTGAGAGATGCTACAATGAGGTTTTGCTATACTGACTGTTGAAAGTTTGACCTTGTTACACTTGGCAATATTTTTATTTGAATATGGGAAGATTTTCTCCCTTCCTCCCCCCCTTCAGTTTTCAAAGTTGTTTGTGTGCTGCTTGTGTATTTTCATGCTGTATATGTATGTGAAGTGTTTTGTTCCTGCTCTGTGTGTCTGTGAATTTAAGTATAGAGACAATTAAGGACTAAGAGAAATGTATTTATTTTCATGATATCTCTAAGTTAAAATTTTCTTTAAATAGTGCCTTTTAAACTGTCTTAAATGTTCACATGCTTGCTCTGTCAAACTCTTGGCAATATCACATTTATTTTAATGCCGTTCCTAAAATAATGTCATGGTCTTCTGCTCAGAGAGAAGTGTACTGGTCTAGTTTCTCCTTAGTTCTTTCATATACTTGTAATCTGGAGAAAGTGTTCAGCCTTTTTCCTCCTGTATTGCAGTCTAAATGTGGATTTTATCAGCTTCCTTGTTACGTGATGTTGGCTACCGTTAAGTTGGTTGTATGTGGGTTCAAAGCATTATAATAATTCATATCACCTTTCTGCTTTTGTTTCTAATACTCTTCACTATATGCCCTAACAAAAGCACAGAGAAATCTTGTTGGCGGAATTTGCAAATCATCATTTGAATAGGAAACATATGCTAACAGATGAAAACGAAACTTCAGTATTTTTCAGGGCTTACTTGTGTTTACATTGGGAGTCATGTTTTCCTCTGAACAAGATGACAAGGTCTACTAACAGCTTTTTGTTGTTACACCTGTGGACAAGCCAGTAATTGCACTTGCTTCAGCTAATAGCCTCAGCATTTCTCAGCGGAAGCAGACAAATGCCAGTTCAGATCATCTTTATTACTGGATTTCCAGATTTAACCTGGCCCAACCATGTTTCAGTACAGAACTTCATGAAGTTGAATCATCAAGCTGTCCAAGCCTCCTCTGAATTCGCAACCTAGCTGGAGTTTCTGGCCTTGCAGTAGGGTCTTGCATCAGATGGTTGCTTCAATTTATCAGAGGTGGAGGTAAACCTCTAAAACTAGATCACTCCTATTTGATTTTTTTTTTTAAACCTGTGCAGAGGCAGTAGGTAAGATTTTATACCTGTTATGAATGCAGTACATCTATTTTAGCTAATACACCAGGTAGATACCTAGGGTTAACATACAGCTCACCTAAGCAGTGTTGTGCTTGGTGTCCTTATCACAATATCCCGTTGGCCTTTGCTGACCAGGCAGTCATCAGCTGAGGATGTGTTGGCCTCCCTTGCTTCTTGGACCGTGCTGGTCCTTGGCTTTACAGAGCTGCCCCAGAGACTCTGGGGCAGGACTTCCCTCAAGGATTTTTATGCTCCTCCTGCTCTCCTGGTGTTTTTTCTCCTGAGTTGCTAGTACCATCTCAGTAGTAGCAGTTCTGCCTTAGCTTTTTTTTTTTTTTGTTATTATTTTATTTATTTATTAATCTTGCAAGGCTTCAGCTTATGTACTAGCAAAATCAAGGTTGCATATCTTGTTTCTCCCAAATCTGTACCCTGGGGAACAGATACCTAACATCAAAGACATCATGAGTTACAGGAAGAGATGCAAGTGATAAATAGCTATATAGTAGCAAGTCCTACATAGAAGACAATCTAAAAGGTAGCCTTATTTTTAAAGCATTTTAACATTTGTTGATAACAGTATTCGAGTTCTTTTCCTTTTTGATCCAACAGAATAGTGAAACTGGGACACCACAATGCAGTTTTGCTTCAACAACATGATCAAAACATTAAGAACACTCTAAAGTAGGGCTGAAATTACAGTTGTAGAAAAGCAATCTTGTCACACTTTATTATACCAACGTACCTGAAAATTTTGATTACAAAATTAAGAAAAACAATGACTGTTTAAAATGTTTTATTCCAACATTATGTATTGCATTTACTTGCGGTTTATCTAATTATTTTTTATTGTATCCTTAGGAAATTCTTAAGAATGAAAATTATAGAGAACAGATGAAACAGAAAATCAGAGATGTATCTGAAAAGGATAGGCTGCTTCAGGCAGAGGAATACAAGGAAGGACTTGTTGCTGAACCGGCTCGTACTCATGTTAAAGGCCACGCATCTGCCCCTTACTATGGAAAGAAAGAGCCTTCCCAAGACCCAACGAGCACTGCGAATTCCTTTCAGCCAGGCTCCTGGATGCCACCAGGCAGTGGTAGTAGTCATAATAAATAAACAGTTGTAATGTGCAGATAGTGCGGGTGGATAAATATTTCAACAGACAGCATAAACAGCTGTTTTATGTGAGTGTGCAATAAAGTAATATTAAAGCAGTTTCATTTATTTTTGGAGAACTGTTCAAATAGGCTTGCTTAATCAGGACAAATGACTAAAATGTTTGGGTTTAGTGAAAAACAGGATGTGTTACTAATTAAGTTTGTTTTCAACAGTTGCTGTTCATCAGCTACTCCTGAAATCATAGGTAGGTTTTCTAGATAACTTGATTTTCTTAAATAATTTTAAACTGTTTTTTCCTTGAAGACTCATTTATTTTTAAATTGTGTTCGATGTAATAATTTTTAGTTAATCAGTACATTTATTTTTCCCAAACCTAGGCAGCAGTTTAGGATAGTGCTTCAGAATGCTTGTTAAGTCCCTTGGCAGTGCCAGTGTGCTTTCCTCTGGCAAGTGGATGGAAAAGTCAATTTCATGAACAGGAATCACTGTGACACTACAGACTACACCCTGTATTAATCTTAGAGACATTCTTCTAACTTGGATTTAAGAAAATAATCAACATATGTGAATGTTTGATTTGCAGCCAGCGGTAAGCACAGGATAAAATCAGGCTGAGTTAAACTACAGATTACTGTGATAGAGGTTAGAAGCACTTGGTAAAGCTGCTGGAAAATAACACAGGGTTTGGGACAAGGGACTGTCATTTATTTACTTTAAAAATATTAATAGGTTTTATTTCTTGTGTATGTGGTTAGATTTGACCATAGTTTAGATACATAGAATGTGCAGATTATTTGCTTGGAGATGATGTTTGAGAACTTCAAGTCAAAATAAAGACCACACAATTTTTTGAAAAAAAGTATCAAATTTATTTATGCAGCGCATCCTTCATCAAGTGTTGTAATTCATTTCATTCATGTGTTTTAAGCTATGTAGGTATCAAAGGTGGAACATGTACACATTTGACAGCACTTGATACAAAACGTGGAGACTTAATGCCATATATTTATAAAATGCCAAAATATCATATTCTAATAAAGCTTGCTTTGACCAACAAAATTGAAAGGGAATCAATGATACTTCACATTTACTTTAAAGTCTTCCCCACTTATAATCCTCCTTGGTGTCAGGCAGTTCTATGTCTCCTCGTTTGAACAATGGTATTATTTCAGGGTTTTACTTTTAAACATCATGAAGGACTAGTTTCTAGGAAGCACAACTCTGGGCTGCTGTTTAGAAATACGATAAGTCTAAAAACTTAATGACTGGCACAAGCTCTTTAGAACTAGACTATTAATAAAAATTAGGCTTTGAAAAATTCATCGTTTCTGTTAGAAAAACATTCATTGGAATTAAGGTTAAATAATCGTGGTATATTTACAACACAAACCCCACCTGGCCTTCTTCCAGTATGCCAGCATTTTGCAACCAGGAAGGTGGCAGAATTTCAACGGCCATGAGAACAGATATCCCACCTAAGGTCAGGAGGTCCTAAATCAAAGATAGCCAGAAGGTTAGCAAGTAGGAAGAACTACCATCCCCAGTGTGTGCATCCTCTTCCTGGACTCTTCCACAGCCACCTGCTGCCGGTCACCAGGACACAGAACACCAGGCCTTTGGTCTCACCCCATTTATGGCTGTTCTTTGAGGCATGAAAAGTTTCTAAAGGCAGAAACAAATTAGTTACGGGTGGGGTGTTCGTTACGGAAAGCCAAACCACGGGGTAGTGTCTTTTGGAGAACACGAGTGGTCCAAGACAAATGAAGGTAGTAAGAACAAGCAATCGTTTTCCTAGAGTTTGGGCTGAATTTAAATGCTCCTGATGGCTGATAGTTCAAGAAATAGAAAAAGCTACAGTAGGTTCTTTTTGCAGACAAGCCCCACTCCCACAGACACTACGGCAGCCCCTGTGGGCACACAGCTGAATGAACCACAGGGCCATATGCAGCGTCCTTAAAGGAAATCAGTAAGGTATGCTACCCAACTCCAAAGCTAACGTATCTCTACAGCTCTGTTGAAGGTATACCAAAACTTGCCTTCCTGTAATCCAGTTTACCATTCACATTTTCCCCATAATTTGAAAATTTTAAGACACTTGCTAAGTCATAACTCAGCTAATTAAAAAGAATAATCTAGCTCCAGAGCCACTCAACAGATTTTTTAATTTAACATCCAAATTTAGAAAAGCAACCTGCACTTAGAACACAAGTAGTAGATTAAATGACTTTTGTTATAAGAGTCACTTGGGCAAACTTTAACACAAATCATCTCAGCAGAAAAATACATTAAAAGGATTTCATACTTAAAGAAATAAAAGGATCAAGTATCGAAGGACAGTTACAACATAAAACGTACAAGTGTTGCATTTAAAAAGTGGATTCTGTCAAGAAGGAAGGCCTGGCTTTGCCCATTTAATCCTTCTTTGTTCGTTTGGCTTTTGCAATATTTTCTTGGCGTTTCTGTTTCTTCTTTTGCTCGCGCTCCCTGGCCTCAATCATTTTTGCAAGCTTCCATGAAAGTGCTGCACTGATTACGAATAACGGTGTAAGGGCCAAGATCACTGTAGTAAGAAAGCCATATGGGTCCTTTGCAGCCCACTCCACAATGTATTCAGCCCAGGCCTTAACGTCGAACATTTTTCTGTTTTTCTATTGGGAAAACCCTATGGAATAATAGAAAAATATTTTTTGAGCATTCAGAGAAAAATCACACATACACAGCAATTACCATTTTAATGTATGTCATCATCTTTCATTATTGAAGAGCAAACTCATTTTTGCTGTAAGAGTAGCGCATGGTACGCGAAAGCGCAATGCAAAGTGTTGACCCTACATTCAAGTACTGTGTTTACAAAATAATTTGGCATTTCATCCAACAGAGCGTCACACACTACCAAGAAAAAATTGCTGCGTGGAAAAAAAGTGAAGTCTGTGCTTCTTCGGAAGAGAAAGGAAGCGCGCTCAGTTGGTTTATCTTTCTGTAGGTGTTACCGGGGAGGTGAGGGGGCTGGGGCAGCGCTTCCAACAGTGAACTAGCCGCAGTCAGAAACGGCGGAGAAACTGTGTCGGCGGCGAGCGCTGCGGGGCGCAGGCAGAGGCCGCCCCGGGCCGGCCGCCCCCGGAGCCCCCCGGGCAGGAGGGGCCGGGCCGGGGCCCCCCCGGCGCCTCCTTCCCTCGCTCCCCCCCGCCGGCGCAGCCGCTGCGCTTCTTCCGTCACCCCGCAACGGCCGGCCGCGCGCCCCGCCCCGCCCCCTCCCAACGGCCGCCCTCACCTGCAGCAGCGGCGGCGGCGTGGGGGGGGTGGTTTGGGGGGGAACACCAGCGCGGCCTCGGGCACCCTCCGGGCTTGTCGAGCGACGGGAGGGTGGCGCCGAGGTCCCTGCGGAGAGAAGACAGAGGCCGTGAGGGAAAGGCGCCCGTCCCCGGCAGCGCTCGCCTCCGCCCGGCACAGGTAGCGCTGCTCGGGCGGGCCCGGACGACGGCGGCAGCGGCGAGAAGGCGGCGCGGGGGGGGGGGGGGGGGGGAGGACCGTGCCGCGCCGTCCCGCCTCGCCTCCCCCCACACCCCGCCGCCGCCGCCGCCCCACGGTACCGCGGCCCTGGAGGCGCCGGTCGGACGAGCGGAAACAGGAAGGAGGCGCCCGCCCCGCCCATGCCGGCCGTGGGCGGGGGAAACAGAGTCTGGTCGCCGCTGCGGGCTAGAGCGGCCCCGCCGAGCGCCCAGCCCACCGCCCGCCGGGCGTCACTCCGGGGGCGGGGCAGCGCCGCTGGGACACGCCTCGCATGGGCGGGGCCTGTAGCGCCCCGCCCCGGGGGTTGTGGGGGGGGCAGGGCCTGCGGCGCGGCGCGGGGATCGGCTGCTCCTTTAGAAAAAAAAAAAAAGGCCGTGACTAGGGAAAATTAGTCTCCAAGGTTAATTTTTCACGTTGTGAAATAACCCCGTCGGGGCAGGTGGCGGAGCGCAGCTCGGGCCCGGCGGCGGTCTGGGGGCGGGCGCACTGCCTGCGCGCTGCGGGCGCTGCTCGGTGACCGCCCCGCCGCCCCCTCCCGCCCCAGTGCTCCTCCAGCGCGTGGCGTGGGCGGGAGCAGAGTGGCTTCTGCCGGGCGCCTGCCTCCCGCCCGCTGTGGGAAGCCCTGGCCCGCCCGGCGGGTCCCACGCAGCTACCGCGGGTGGCCGTAGCACCGCGCCCTGATGAACTGACCTCAGCGAAAATACTCGGCTCCTCTCCGTGTAATCTCGCTGACTGTTAAAGCCGTTAATATTCTCGTAGTGAAAATATAGGGCTTGCGGTTTTGATTTATGTGTGTTGCAGCAAGCCTTCCTTTCTCCCTTGCTGGTGCACACACGCGCTGGTGTGAAAGAAAGTCACATTGTATGGATTAGCGCATTAGCTTAGTATTTGGGAAGATCCTGCAATCACTTAAATTAAAAGGAGTTCCTTTCTCTGTAGCATAACAGGAAGTGCCATCAGGGCATTCTACTTCTGTATGTCTTCTCTTTCTGTCAGTATTTATATTATTTAAAGGGCAGCAAACAGGCAAATAAGACATATATTCCATCAGTGAGAGAGTCAATGACAAGATCTGAATAACTTAAAATGCTGTAGCTTGAGTATGTTGAATGCAATCTTGTGCTATGTACAAATTATCGTTATTTATGCATACTTATTCAAAACCTGTAGTGTTCAGGCGAATTAGAATAGAATAGAATAGAATAGAATAGAATAGAATTAGAATAGAATAGAATAGAATAGAATAGAATAGAATAGAATAGAATAGAATAGAATAGAATAGAATAGAATAGAATAGAATAGAATAGAATAGAATAGAATAGAATAATTGCAGTTGAACGGTACCTACAGTGTTTATCTAGTCCAACTGCCTGACAACTTCAGGGATGTCTGAAAGTCAAAGCATGTTATTAAGGGAATTCTCCAAATGCCCCTTAAGCACTGACAGGCTCGAGGCATCGACCACCTCTCTATGAAGCCTGCTCCTGTGTTTGAGCACCCTCTTGGTAAAGAAATGCTTCCTAATGTCCAGTCTAAACCTCCCCCAGTGCAGCTTTGAACCATTCCCACGTGTCCTGTCACTGGATACCTGGGAGAAGAGATCGGCACCTCCCTCTGCCCTTCCCCTCCTCAGGAAGCTGCAGAGACCAACGAGGTCGCCCCTCAGGCTCCTTTTCTCCAAAACAGACAATCCCAAAGTCCTCAGCCACTCCTCACAGGACATGCCTTCCAGCCCTTTCACCAGCTTTGTTGCCCTCCTCTGGGCACACTCAATGTCCCTCACATCCTTCTTAACTGGTGGGGCCCAGCACTGCGCACAGCACTCGAGGTGAGGCCGCCCCAACGCTGAATACAGCGGGATAATCACCGCTTTTGCCCTGCTGGTTACGCTGTGTTGGATGCACCCCAGGGTGCCATTTGCCCTCTGGGCTGCCGGGGCACACTGCTGACTCACACTGAGCTCAGCATCACACCAGACCCCAGACCCCTTTCTGCAGGGCTGCTCTCCAGCCAACCCTCTCCCAGTCTGTACTTGTGCCCGGCGTTACTCCATCCTAGGTGCAGCATCTGGCAATTGGACTTGTTAAATTTCATCCCATTAATTGTTGTCCAATGCTCAAATCTACCTAGATCCTTCTGCAAGGCATCTTGTCCCTGAAGAGAGTCAACACCTCCTTCCAGTTTTGTATCATCAGCAAACCTGATCATGGTGCATTTGACTCCTGCATCCAGACCATAGATAAATATACTGAAGAGGACTGGCCCTAGGATTGAGCCCTGAGGAACACTGCTGGTGACCAGTTGCCAGCCAGATGTAGCCCCATTCACTACAACCCTCCGAGCTATGCCCTTCAGCCGGTTCTTCACTCATCACACCATGAACCTGCTCATCCCACAGTTGGACAACTTGTCCAGGAGGGTGCTGTGAGGGACAGTATCAAAAGCCTTACTAAAATCCAGAGAAATTGCACTCACCACCTTCCCTTCATCCGGTGGGTGGGTGACCTTATCATGGAAGGATATCAATTTAGTTAAACAGGACTTTCCCTCTGTGAACCCTTGTTGAGTGTGCCTGATGACTCTCTTGTTCTCATTGTTCTTTAAATGTCTTTCAATAGCCCTGTTATGATCTTCCCTGTAGTTTTCCCAGGTACTGAGGTGAGACTAACAGCTCTGTAGTTTCCTTGGTCATCCCTCATGCTTTTGTAAATTGGGACAACACTGGCTGCTTCCAGTCAGCGGGGATTTCCCCAGACTCGCAAGACCTTTGGTGAGTATCCGCACATGTACCTCTCTCTGTACATGTGTTACTCAGACATTTACATGAGCATTAAAACTCTTAGAGGTTTTATGGGTCCCTGTTTGTTCTATGACTTGTAAACCTTAGCAAAATTTAACAATCTAAATTTATTGGATCCTTCTACCAAATTTGGTGGCCTTCTACAGTGGTGTTACAGCATTGGTGGATAAGGGAAGAGCAACTGACATCATCTACCTGGACTTGTGCAAAGCATTTGACACTGTCCCACACAACATCCTTGTCTCTAAATTGGAGAGACATGGATTTCATGGATGGACCACTTGGCAGATAAGGAATTGGCTGGATGGTCACGCTCAAATAGTTGCAGTCAATGGCTCAATGTCCAAGTGGAGAGCAGTGATGAGTGGTGTTCCTCAGCATTTGGTGTTGGGACTGGCACTGCTTAACGTCTTTGTTGCTGACACGGACAGTGGACTGAGTGCACCCTCAGCAAGTTTGCAGATGACACCAAGCTGTGTAGTGCAGTTGACACACTGGAGGGAAGGGATGCCATCCAGAGGTACCTTGACAGGCTGGAGAGGTGGCTCCATGCAAACTTCATGAAGTTTAACAAGGCCAAGTGCAAGGTCTGGCACATGGGTCTGGTCAATCCCAAGCACAAATACAGGCTGGGCAATGAGTGGATTGAGAGCAGCCCTGCAGAGAAGGACTTGGAGGTAGTAGTGGATGGAAAACTGAATATGAGCCAGCAATGTACGCTCACAGCCCAACTGCATCCTGGGCTGCATCAAGAGAAGTGTGGCCAGCAGGTTGAGGGAGGGGATTCTCCAACCTCAGCTTCGTGAGACCCCCCCCTGCAGTACTGTGTCCAGCTCTGGGGCCCCTGACATAAGAGAGACATGGACCTGTTGGAGTGGGTCCAGAGGAGGCCACAAAGATGATCAGAGGACTGGAGGACCTCCCCTGTGAGGACAGACTGAGAGAGTTGGGATTGTTCAGCCTGGAGAAGAGGAGGCTCTGGGGAGACCCCATAGTGTCTTTCAAGCACTTAAAGGGGACCTACAGGAATGATGGGGAGGGACTTTTTACAAGGGAATGTAGTGATAGGATGAGGTGTAATGGTTTTAAACCCAAAGAGGGTAGATCTAGGTTAGATGTAAGGAAGAAATTCTTTCCTGTGAGGGTGGTGAGACCCTGGGACAGGTTGCTCAGAGAGGCTGTGGCTGCTCCCTCCCTGGAAGGGTTCAAGGCCAGGCTGCACAGGGCTGGGAGCACCCTGGGCTGGGGGAAGGGGGCCCTGCTCATGGCAGGGGGGTTGGAACTAGATGATCTCTAACATCCCTTCCAACCCAAACCATTCTATGATTCTGTGATTCTATATTAGTTCTGAGGTGTTGTATTTGTTGATATCATTCTAAGATGTCTTTGCATGCTGTGTAGCTAAGTTAAAAGTAGATGTGCTATTATGTAAGTATAACTGTGGTAAAATTGCATGTTGGGCTAGAGTGTACACAGTTATATTTCTGATGCTTGGATGTCAAATTTAGGTACATATGCCAAAATAAGCATTGAATTAGTCAACAGCTATATAGAAGTTGCTTAATGTCACCACCTTGAGACCTGCTTCAAAATTAATTTCCAGTTCCAGTCTTTCACATAATAGTAAAAGTCTCATCTGTGTGCCTTTCTGTCTCTTATCTGCCTTACTGACTTAAAGAGGAAAGTGCCTGATTCAGTGTGGCAGGGAAGAACTAAGAAGTAGGGATTTTTAATTCTCTTTCCTAAGAAAACATATCTTATGTAATTACCTTTTCTGTGTTATTGTCCCTCTGATAGCTTCTGAAGTTGTTGATGGGTTATATTCACAACGTAATAGAGATTTTGTACATAATAATTCTGGTCCTTTAAGATTTGTGAGAATAGGCAGCTAGGTAGAGAAGAGAGGCCCAGGCTACAACCTTGACTGAAAGCTGCAGTCCATCTGTGTTAAGAATTAAGAGGTGTTACAGAATTTCTACCTAATGGGAAAGCTTCCTCCGGGGCTTGCACACTAACTAATTCGGAATAATTCAACCAGAACGTCACAGGAGATCAGGGTACATGTTTTGCTTTCCGTGTGTTAGTTGTTGCACTTTAAGTAGTCAAAGAGAGGAGAAGAGAAATTTCGGAATTCACTACAACTCAAACAATGCAGCACAACCATTAGCATACCATCAGAATACTTTAGAAGACCACATTACGAATATATTTAAGTTAGCTATAATTTTGGCAGTTAACTGCTACTTTGTAAATTCTGCACTTTCTTTTTCATCTCATCTAGAATTTCTTTAAATGACCCTGTTCTGTTATTTATAGCTATATGTGTGCATGTGTGTATTTTAAGACAAACACTCTTTGATTTTGTATCTGTGTCCTGGGTTTGGCTGGAATAAAGTTAATTTTCTTCTTAG